ATCACTGGGTTAGAGTTTAAATACTTTAAATGTGCACCTTTCTTTCTGAGGCTCTGGTACAGCTTTGCCCTGTCACTCTCCTTTTCTGAATTTCTGAGGGGGGAATAACAAGGTTAAACAGCAGTTACCCACACAGAGTGATGAAAGCTCTATTTAACACCTTATACCACAGCTCTGCAAATATTGAGTCCTGATACCATTTGCAAGCGTAAACAGTTTGCCTTATAGCAGCTGGTATTTTTGATGTGTAGAGCGGTTGCTTGCAGTGGGGATAAAACGGGTTAGAAAATGTTGAGGAACCATTATACTGCTATAATATATTAAAAAGACAAGATGAGTGCCAGTGCATGTGTTGTTTTAATAACAATTTGTATTCTGACAGTATCAGCCAGTATATTTCAGACATTTTGTGACAGGAAGGGCCTCATCTTAAAATTTGAAAATAAGGGAAAATAGCATAACTTTAATCAAAAGATATGGATGGGAACTAATTTCTCCACCAGTCACCTCCAGCACTCCACATATGTGGTATAAAGTGTAAAAAGCCGAAGGGGACCTGCAGTATTGAACTCACAGTGGTTCCTCTCACTGCAGTGCATGCTTTCTGCAGGAATGCCAACGGATCCTCAGCAAAGCACAGCACTTACTGTGCATGGTCTATCCTAGCTTTGGAGCCTGTTTTCTGGTGGCTAATTAAAAAAACCCCTTTACTATTCTTGATCTTAATTGTTCTCTATTTTTTTCTTTTTTTTTTTTTCCTTCTTTCCCCCCTAAGGATGTCGCTCTGCTAAAGAAATCTGTTTAAATTAAGCAGCCTGTGCCCAATGAAATCATTCAGTTATTGGTGGTTTTTGGTCTTTACTTTGAATAAACAGAGCCTTCCTGACGGCAGGGCAGTTCCTCAGGAATTCCTTTATGGTGAATTAGGCAGGGCAGTGATGAATAACTGGGGGCAAAGGACAGTCTGAGCAGCGAATCAAATTGATTACCTAAGTCCTCAGCTAACTTTTTTAGGGCAATTTTCAATGGGCCCAGTATTCTCTAAGGCATAGGTGGAGCCTAATCTCACCGCAGGGGCCTGCTCTTGTTGATGCTTTCTGCCGTGCTATCTGCCATACCCGCGCACAGCTGTACGAGGGCTGGAGCTGTGTAAGGAATTAAAGGTTTCCTAGAAAGACCAGGAGCCAGCGTCTTTGCACAGTCGTGCTTGTGGACCCCTAGTGCGTGCATGGGGTGGTGATAGGACGTTGCTGTGGCGCACCGGCTAGCCCCGCGTCACCGGCTGTCTGCCTCTTCACCCTCCGCTCCCCCGGGAGCGAGCCTGCGGGGCAGCCGGTCCCGCTGCTGGTTTGCCGTGGTGGCCGTGCCTCATGGCTGTCCCTCTTGGCACGTCCGAGGCGGCTCCAGCAGGCACAGGCTTTGCCGCACAGCCGTTCCCCATCCAGGTGCTCGAGGGGTCCAGCCTGCCCGTGCCCCTGCTCACTCTCGCACCCCAGCGCAGAGCGTGCACCTACCAGAGAAACACAGCAACGTGATTTCACCATCCTTCTGGGCTTTGGGGAGAGGTTAAAGCTTTTCTCAAGGAGCCTAGAAAGACCCTTTGCCAAAATTTTCTGTCTACATCAAACTTGTGATCTGCCATATCTTGTTATTGGAGAGAACAAAGCATCATGGCATGGACTGTTTTTAAGTGCACTTGATTTGGTAGCAGCCTAACATGCTCCCTGCCATCTTGAGAGACTTGTCATTACCAGCAATCCTTTCTTTTATTTTTTTCTTCTTTAACTAATTTTGGCTACTGAGGCTATCACTAACAGCAGAGCATTCAAGCCAGTCTGTAGGAGTATGGAGCATGATCCCCTCATTGTATACTGTACAAAATAAACATTCTGTCTGATCGCTGTCTTGAAATGCTAAGGTGAATCAGAGGTTGTTTATTACATATATTGTTTTTCTTCCACTGTCTTTCCATCTCTTCTGAACAGTTTTCTCAAGATTCATTTAAAATATGACCCATTGTTACCCATCTGGTTAGGTTTGAAGAGAACCCTGGATTTAATATTGAGTGCTGCTTCCTGGTGAACATGTTAAGGATGTGATCGAAGATAGAGTGAGGAAATAGGATGTGGGACTCGGGATGAGAGCAGGAGGGAGTAATGATTTCAGACGTTTGTGTTTGTACTGCCAGCTCACTGTGCTGATAAGAAGCTACTTTAGCACCATCTGGCATTTTCAGAGTTAGGTTGATGGTGAAGAAGAATGCTGCTTCTCATGGAAACTATACAGATTTACTGTGAAATAAGCTTTGACATGAATTTAGGAGCATCCTCACTGCACTGTTGCTTTCCAAAGAGCATGGACTTGGGTGGGTAAGTCTTAGTTCCTGAGCTCCTACAGCAGAGCAGCACTGGAAGTGGCAGTGGTCAGGCTGGGGAGGTTTCCAGGCTGTGCTGTAGCAGCCCCTAGGCGCACTTAGACCTTGCCTTTTCTCTGAAAGAAGAAAATCTGAAGAGTGCCAAGCTTTGAGGGTAACTTTAGCTCACAAGCTTTTATCAAATCTGCACCTCAGTTGCCTATACAGCACAGAAATTCAGTGCCTCCTGAGGAATCATTTTGATCTCTGATTTCTTTTTTTCCTTTTTTATTTTAAATGGAGTGTTTCAGGGGGGAAATAGGAGTAGCAGCAGATGGAAGATACACAGGGCAGCAGTTGAAGTTTCTTGGTTCCTAAGCTCACTGGTGGCAGACTGGCATGCACCGTTTAGATTTACTCTTCATTTCCAGCTTCTTGCAAGCAATTGCTACTTTCAGTGGCAAGTCTCAGGATACCAGCAAATTCTTGAAAGAGTAATCTTTTTTCTTGGAGGAAAGAGGAAGGGGAAGCGTAATGGGAAGCTATATTTCATTATCTTGGATATACAGAATGAAAGTGAGTTCTGACACTGGCTTCTCCCTGCTTCTGGGATTAACTTCTCATGCTTTGTAAAATTCTGGAGCAATATGCTTTCCTCCAGTAAATATTTAACTAGCAGCATCTTCATCTGAATTAAACAAGGAACTACCCTGCTATAGATGACACATACTTATCTTGAGACTGGTGCTTCTTGTTCGTTCAAATTGAGCAGAAATGGTAGATGATATGTGGAGAGATGGTAAAGAGGGAAAGGCTGGGTAGGAAACTAAGTTCATAGACTGTCCAGATCCATTTTTTTTTTTCTTGTAATGACCTTATGCTGAAAGTCAGTCTGATGTAGATTCACAGGTTGACTGGTACAGAGGTCACACATGGAAGAGTTTGTCACGTACTAAATTTTGCGTTTGGTTTCTTTACTTCTTAGTGCCATTTGTTGGAGAAGCTTATAGAAGGAGCATGGGAAGCTTGGCTGAGCTCTGGCCAAGGAATTGCAGCTGCTCTCCTAATTACAGAAGGAGAAAATGATATACAGGCCTGTGGGGATCTGTCAGACACAGATTTATTAAGCAGGATGGAGAGGGACTTAAAGCTATCACCTCCTTTCAGTCGCCCCCTCCCCATACAGTGCACGTGCACTGAGTTTCATGATACTTTTGCAGCCATGTGAAAGTCATCATCTGGAGCACTCTTATCATCTCCCTTCCCCCTGGTTCCTGCCCAGTTTGCAGCTCCTCCAAGTTCCAGTTAATGGCTGCATAATGCAGGAAATAACATGTAAAATAATTTTATCTATATCAAAATAAGGGATTCTGCAGTTTAGAACTGCTAAGTGATAATCCGACCACCTTTGCTCTCTCCTATGCCTCCTCAGACATCAGTGAGGAAAAAACCATCAAGATTGCCATTGATGAAAACAAGAGAAGAACCCACATGTGCTGGCTGCTGTAGCATCAGCTAGTTGGAATAGTTAAAAATAATAAAAGAAACATTTTTCAAAAGTGACATTTGTTGATTTTTACTGGTTTCTGCAAATCTTGGGTCCCCGATTTCTTGGGACATTGCGTGGAGAGGATGGGGAAGAGACACCAGCTCATATTGGGAGTCTCTGCTCTCTTCTCTTTAAGGACTTCCCTCGTGACTTTTAATTACAGGGAAAAAAAGGGGGGAACACCTTACAAGGAAAATGGGCAAAAACCTGCTTGTCATTCATATGTAAAGTTCCAGGCTTTAGCTAATGTCCCTTGGACTTCTTGCTGCCTTTGCCCCCCTCTTTGCCTCCAGCCCAAACCTCTCATAGGGACAGCAGCAGACATTTGCAGTGAGGGCACAAGTTTTATACCATTTTTCACATATTCTCAGGAGTCTGGGGATACAGTTTGTCCCAAGCTAATTGTAAGAAAATTCATAGCTGGCAGTGAGATTGTGTCTCTGCAGTATGTGACCTCATGCTAATTTTGGTTTACCTGGTATTTCACCTTTAGGAATGCAAAAGAAAACTCATCGAAAAAGAAGTGTTTTTTAAAGGGAGTAAGCATCAGTTAAGCCTCAAGCACTAGTTCAGGATACAGGACCTTAGTAGGATAAAGATGTGTTAAAAGTTAAACTTGTGCTTAAAGTGCTTTTCTGAGGTTTTTCACAAATGGAAACCTGAGTGTTCCAGTTGTGTACTGTGGCTGCAGTATTCTGGAGTGTATGAGCCACCCTAACATATGTTTTTCAAAGCTGGGAGAACTATTGCATATTATGTCATTCTTCACTTCATGACACTGTTGATGCAAACCAGGACAGGAAGCTGGGTGGGATCACAATATATCACTTATTTCATTTCTTTTTTTTTTTTTTTTTCTGTATCTTCTCCTTGTTCTCTGAAAGGAAAAAAGAATTATAGCAGAAAAGAAATAAAAGACTTTGAAATCTAAGTGAATAAATGATTCCCTTTTGAAAGAAACTGCACATTTTCTCTAGTCTTCCATACAACGTAATTCTTAAAGACAAGAAAAAAAAATTCAGAAATTAAAAGTAGTGTTAAAAATTGTTTTGTAGCCACTGTTTCCTTTTTGACCTTCCTGCTTGACTGTGATTACAGGAGAAGCTGATCAAGAGATCTCAAGAGTTGCAGCTTCCTGGGATTGTCTGTCAGAGGAATGAAGAGCAAAAGAATAACTTTCCGTCATGAAGTATGTGCCAGTATATTTTAAAGTGTCCTTAAAAGACTTTCCTTTGGACATAATCTAGTGGATTCAAGGACCCAAGAGGCCAGACCAACAAACAGATATCAGTCCTTAAGCTATTTTTTTTTTTTAAATGAAAGTCAGCAGTTGATCTTAGTAACATTTCCTGTGTAAAATACTGGCATGCCTTTTGGTGCCGATTTGCTATTGGGGTTGTTTACATTAGGAAGCAGAGTGACCTAAGGAATTAAGCATTTCTTTGAGGAAGCATTGTTCCTTTATGGTGAATATATAAAGTACCCCCTTCAGCAAGCAGCTGGAATCCAACAGCAGGAGGCAGTAGGATTGATCTTCTGCTTTTTCTTAATGTCCCAGTCCTCTTTTCAACTATCACTTTACTGAGACAGCACTGTCTTGATTTATCTCAGAGCCAGCACAAAAGCATTTCCCTTGATGACCTTGAATTTCATCGGCCTCCTCCATCTGCTGGTTTGATGTTTTGGGCTAGGTGTGTTCGTCTTCCCAGCAAATGCAGAGCCCAGCTGCTGAGTGGCCTTGCTTACAGTCTCTATTTGCAGTCCTTGCAGCTCAAATGCTTTACTCTAAAAGGTGTACATGGATCAAGAGCAGCTATTATGTTCAGCAATTTTGGTCAATTTTTACTTAGGATAAGAATATTTTATTTCTTTAGATTCCAGTGCGATCACTGTCATGTAAATGCTGGTGTACATGCTTCACTGTAAGTGAAATTGGTGCCTAGGGTATCAAGATGGAGCCCTTTAATGTTCTTTTCTCTGCTGCTGAGGTATCTCATCTGTAGTTGAGTGGTTAGCTGCATACTGAAAATGTTTATTTTCATCTAGAAAGTGACTCATGCCCAGTTAAATTGCAAGTAGCAGCGCCACAAATTCATCACTTCCCTGACTGTATGAATGGGTGTAAAGAGACTGTACCCAGCCCTTGGGGGGGTTGTGCATGACCTTTCTTCCTCTTTTCAAAACTGAGTTTATTCTGTTCTGTAAAAATGACAACACTAAATGTTAGTCATCTTTTCAGGTGGATATAAGATGCCTCAAAGTTAAATGCTATTGCATCTAATGCCGTCTGAGGGGAACAGTCTTGGAAAAGGAGGGTTTTGGGTTTGCCTCCTCATGCAGTGCGTGTGTGAAGAGGCCCCGGAGCGAGTGCAGCTATTGTATGAGCACGAAGCAGTAAATGGCATTTCGTCTGATTCTTATTACGCAATCATATTACCTTCATGTGTGGCCTGGGAAGGGAAGTGGGAAAGGAGGGCAGAGCAAACAAACCCACTTGCCTCCCTGGTGGTAAACCAGAGTTTTAAATGTGACCTGATTTGGGGTAGGAGAAAACCAGACCAGTGTCTGGTGTCTCTGACTGCATGCTTTTGCCATGTTCAAATCCTGTACGTGGAAACGGGGCTTCATCAGCGTGGGAGGGTTTGGAGTGACTTGTGTTGCCATGCTAAGAGTCACCTATGTATGGTAGTAGTGAGCAGCAACTGTATTAGATTTATTTTGTACTGGGTACTAGTTGTCTTCCTAGAGCTGGGTTAGTTCTTCTTTGTTATTTGCCATGAAGAATTCTATTTTGCTGCTGAGAAGCTGTCGTCATGCTTACCCTTTTGCATATCAGTAAGTCACACTACACTGAATCATTCTTATTTAAATGTTTGTATGATTGTACCTAATTTTAGCAAATTCTTTATTTGTCACTCTCATGTGAACATTCACACATGATGTTTTCATGGTTTGTCAATCTTTTAGCTTTGTCAAGTTCTATTTTTTGGAAATTTGAGCTATATTTAAAATGGATAAACAATGTACTTTAGTTTGTTGACCTGAGCATCTTAAATATGGTGGCTACAAGAGGAGAATGGACAAATTTTATCAAAACATGCAGTTATTTAACTGAACTAATGAAAGTTAGTTCAGAAGACCCATGGAAAGTGCGGCTCTGCTGCTTTCATTCCCAGCCCCTTCCATGCTAGCTCAGCATACTGCTGCCAGTGGGGAGAGAAGCTAGAAATCAGCAGACCCTTAATGTTCCTGTACCCTTATCCATAGGCACTGGAGATGTCCTGGCCTCCAGACCCCCTTATGAAAAGAGTAAATGATGGTAAGTGTGGATACTGCTAAATGATACCTGGATGACATGCGATGTTCACCACTGAGGGATTTATTGTGGAAGAAAAGGAGCAAGCAGGACAGCGATGAGTATTTGAGGACAGAGTTGATGAAAAAGATTAAAATTTGCCAGGTGGAATATGATTTTTAAAGTAAGTTAAAAGGAGGCACACTAAAATACATGGTCTGAACACCAGTGTGGGATTTAATTTTTTTTTTTAACCCGATCTTGGCAAAATCAATTGTCTTAAGCGCTCCAGACTCCCCCATGAACTCTACAGATGTTCAGTGAAAACCTGATGAACACTGAGCAGTCTGTGAACTTAGTCCAGGTCTTGACAACAGTTTTATGGACTGATTAATGACCTGTGTTTACCATAGGTGTGGGTTTGCTCTTCTGTCTGCTGGTGGTGTAACTAAAACTTCCACAGATGTGGCTTTTGCAAAAAAACCCACCACACAACCCAGGGATGCACTCTCTTAAGGCACAGCTTCAGATGAGAAAGCAAAATGGAGAACTTCCCTCCCAAAAGATGAAGTAGCATAATGACTTGTAGCTCTTAAAAGCTACTTATCTTGAATGCTTAAAGCAGGGAAAAGCAGAGTAGATGCCACCCATTGAACTAGCAGAGGAAGGAGAGCTGTGCTAGTTATTTTAACTCTTGGTTAGGCAAATAGGATTAGCTATGGTGGATTAAAATGATCAGATCTGAATTTTACTTTAATATAAGTAGGATCCCAGACCATACGTCTTTGGGGAATCCCATCTGGTTTCAGGCATTGTTAGTGGGAAAATGAGACAGTTTTGATACTTTTGTCATCTGTTGTGGGTTTTTTTGGGGCGAGGGGAGAGTTGCCACAGTTTCAATTTGTTCAGTTCATGGAGTTCCTGCTGGATTAATATTCTGTAAGTGAAATGTTTTGGTTTTATTTTCCCATTTGTCAGCTTTACACTGTGTCTTCTAAAGGGACAGAGACAGCTTGAAAACTGAATACTAAAGCAAAAAAAAAAAAAAAAAAAAAAAAAAAAAAAAACAAAAAAACCAAACCCAAAACCTTAAAGTCCATCATTTCACATAGTCTTCACTGTCTTCAGAAAAATCTGGCATGAACACATTTTTAGACAGAAATAGATCCTCCTTGCCCCCCATTCCCTAAGTGACTTACATAAGTCACACAGGTCTTCCACACGCTCTTGAAACTCAGGTTTCTCAGTTCCCCTATGTTCCAGGGTGCTCACAGGTTCAACCTTCAGCTAATGATACAGAGGAAGCAGAGAAACAAATTAAACTATATGAAATAGATTAATTAAAAAGAGTGAAACAGCCTGGTTGTCCTTTTCTCCAGCATTTTTTTTGCTTTCTTTCAGAATAATTGCAGTGATTTGATTGGAATTATTCCTGATCTGAAGGTGCCAGTCAGGCACCATTATGATGGTCTTCATCTGTCATGCTGTCGTGTAGGTGTTACCAACCAAATTGCTTTAAAATGCCACAAAAGAGTCTTTTAAAATTATTTGAAAGAAAAAACTAATATCCATTTAAAAGAAAAAAAAAATCTTACATATGGCCTTATGGTTTAGTCAGTCAAACATAAATCTATGAGGTTTTACCCTTAGTTTTGCTGAGAAGGGGTTCATCCTTTTGCTATCTTAGCCCCCTGTTCTGCTATCAACCTGGAGCCTGCGGAATAAAGTTACTGTTTCATCTGTCACCTCATTTGGATCCTAAAGAGCTACATCACCTCATAGAGTGCAAAATAACAATAGAAATCAGAAAAAAATAATACTGTGCAAGACTTGTATTATAAGGGAAAGTGAAAGAAACGGGTGCTTCTAGTCCCCAAGGAGGAGAAAGGAAAAAGCAGTACAATGGCTGAGCGGTACAAGCCAAGCACAGGAAGAATGTTGATGTTTATGGGCTTCCTAGGAGTAGCTACATAAAGCTTGGTGTAGTATGAGAAATACAGTAGTACAGAAAGAAAGTAGAAATCAATAGTTCTAAATATAAATTTGTACATAGCAGAAGAGCCACACAATGCTTTTCTTAAGGGAAATTGTATTTCCTGGTTAGTAAATGGTACTTTTGGGGTCATCAGAAGTTCTGTTTTCCAGATTAACAACAAGATATGGGTTTCTTAGTCCATGTTGTACACTTGCCAGAAATGCCATCCTCTGACTCTGTGCTCTGAACTTGGATATTTATTTAACCTAGCTTCCAGTATTTTGAAAGGACTACTCTCTCTGCTGATCATATTTGAGACAAGCTTGATTATAACTGTTTCTTATTTTCTCAACCAGTAAGAATAAATGACAGAAGGCAAGACCAGATCTGCTGTTTCCACTCTGTTCTTGAACAAAAAGTGATTTGAACAGGGAACATCTCTCAAGAACCTTGGAACATCTTGTTTATTCATTTATTCTGGTACAAAGGAGGAAAGTGCTACATGCTGAGTTGATGGGTCAAATTTGATGCCCGGCCTGTACTTGCAGAATAAGACAATCTTCTGTAGAGACTGATTTGAAGGGAGCTGGATGTTCTTCAGGGGGATGAAGTTTGACTTGTAATCATGTCTTTAGAAAATGCACATGCATCCATTTGTGTTTCTGTAATTTCTTGTATTTTAAGAGTCAAGGAGATAAAGACATTTTGCCTGTTACTGTCACATAACGTGCTACATGCAAACAGATCAACTGCTTGCTTTCACCATCTGTAATGACCATGTGTCCACCACAGAAACTTGTAGAAAATATGCATGAAAAAAGGCACCAAATATTGGTGAGCCAATGAGCTACATTTACTAGCTTCGGTTTGTAATGATGCTGGGCTTCTCTCCATGCCAAGGCAGAGGAGCTTTGGCCTC